CGTCCTCGGCGGCGTCCTGGGGCGCCTCGCTGGACGCTCCTCGCCCCGCACCTAGCTGCCCACTGTTCGGGCAGGGCAGCACGGCACGGTGGTGTCCGAGGCCGCCGCCAGGCTGCTGCTCCACTCGAAGCGCCCGCTGGCTCGAAGTCGGCTGAACACGGCGCCTCGCGGCCCCCAGCGAGCAGGCAACCGCCCGCGCGGCTGCCGGCGTTGCAGTCTATGATGGCACGGGTCGGCGGGGTCAGCCAGCCCGGCGAGTCTTGTCGCGGGGTTGCCCCCCTCCCCCATCCCCTTTGGCGCCTTGATACCGTACTTTACCTGTTCCCTGTTTCCCCCAGGTGTCTCTGGCCGCCATGGACTACCCTAGGACGGCGTGGGCGTGGCTCCGCTCGAAGCTCCTACTGCATGTCGCCGTCTGGATGTATAGCTGCCTGACTCTGGTGCGTACGTACCCTCATTGCGACCACCACGAAGGGCAGCTGTAACGTGCTGTACTTTTGCTTTTTTGGTTCGACAGAAGCTTGGTTTCGAAGACATCGTGCTTTTAAGCTCAGCCGACTGGAGATCCGAGTCTCCGCCTGTGGTCGAAGGTTTTGACGATATCAAACGAACCATGCGTCGAATAATCGCCTTCTACACTGTTATCAAGTGCTTGCTTGTCGCAGTGCTGCTCGTGAGAATGAGCCAGGTACGTGCGTGTCAAGTTCGTCGTGTTCTGCTTTTCACTCTTGGTCCAACGCTGCAAGTAAACTGTTCGGGCGCGGAGCAGACCCCTCGGCAGAACAAAAGGGCCGTGAACGTCCCCAGCGGAGACTGCTGGGACAATCTTATGCCGTTTTGTTCTTTCTTCTTGAGTGTAGCGTACTTCGGCCGACGGAGGAAGCAGAAAACCGGGTAGAACACCGAGGTTCTGGTCGAGCCTTTACCCCTACTACCGGCGTGACGTAGAGGCGGGAATCTCTCGACCAATCAGGATTGTTACCCGTTTTTCTTCTTCCTTGACCGATTTACCCCCCGCGCCGGATTAGTTGGTTGTGGAGTTGTTCCGTGTTGATTCCCGTCGAGCTTAAAAATTGCTGGTCCTCTGCAGGTGCAGCGACCGGCCCTCGACCTCACTACGTGGTGCGTATTTTCCGTGGTGCTTTGCATCGAGATCATATTCTCCCTTCTCCCCGAGCTGCCACTACTACCACTCGACAGCCCCCGTCTGTTCCAGTCGATTTTTCTCGACACACCGCCACTGGCTCCACCCTCTCTCTGGATATGCACGTTCCACACGATCACCGTAGTATCGCTGACCAAAGACGATGAACCTGCCTCCTTTGCCCGTACTTGTTTTGTTTTCATTATCCTGTCTTATGTTTCGTATGTTTTCACTTTTTATGTCACATCTATGTTTTCTAATTATTTTTTCAAAGAGATATAAAGAGTGGATGTTTGCTCACATCTTTAGATGGGGAACCTGCAGTGTTTGCTTAGTTTTCAGTATCCTTTCTTGTATGTTGTGAATTGTGAATTGTTTTGTGATTATATTCAAAGAGCGATAAAGAGTTGATGTTTGCTCACAGCTATAGAGAGGTCAATCTACCTCCTTTCCGTAATTTGTTTAGTTTTCATTAGCCTTGATTATATTTCTTTCAATTGTTTTGTAATTATTTCCAAAGAGAGATGAAGAGTTGGTGTTTGCTCACAGCTAAAGAGGCTCAACCTGCCCCTTCAGTAATTTGTTAAGTTCTCATTATCCTTTCTTGTATGTTTCCAATAATTATTTTGTAATCATTTTCAAAGCGCAATAAAGAGTTGTTGGCGCTGCTTCGCAATCTTGTGTCTGTCTGGCGGACCGCCCCGCCCTCTGGCTGCCTTGCTGGCTAGCCGTCCATCGTGCATGGGAGTGCGATGGGTTGCCTACCTGATGGCGAGACGGGCGCGCCTGTGCCCGGGCTGCGCCGTGGCACTCCAACGGGTGGGTACACACAAGTGGGTACACTGGAAACCAATGGATATAACAAAACCGATTTAAGGTAGAAGTACGCAAAGTAGTGCCCCTCAGCACAGTCAGTGTCGCTGGCCACACTTGATTGCCCACACTGTCCGCGATCGAACGGACGGCTGTCTGCACATCCCCCCGGAAGTGCTCCGCCCCGTGCAGCAGTCAGACGACGCGAGCGGCCGCCACTTGGGTAGTTGTATTGACCGGGGTTGCGACACTCGGCCGTCAGCGCGTTCCGGCCGAGCTGAGCTGCCCAGTCGGCGCGCACCAGTGTTTGAAAAGCGCGCGCGCCCCGCGGACATGCTCGGGCTCCGCGGCCACGGCAAGGCGCTGCTGCTGGGCGCGGGCGAGCGCCCACCCCGGCCGCGGCCGCGGCACAGCTGGGTGAGTCCTGGCCGTCACACACTCGTAAGTGACGCTGCCCTCACACATTTGTGCGTGTGACACGGCAGTCACACTTGGGCGTGACAGGGTTGTCACAGACTTGCGCGTGACACTAAGTGGCGGTGCGGGCCCCGTGACGGCCGTGTCACACACTTGCGCGTGACGCGGCCGTCACACCCTTGTGCGTGACACTAGGTGGCGGTGCGGGCGCCGCCGCCGCCCCGTGACGGCCGCCTGGTGTGGCCCGCCGTCCGCCCGGCGCTCCTCACGACGCAGGTCTGCTCGCTGCTGCTCATCTCCCTGGAGCCGACGACGACCAGGTGGGCTCTCGACCTCAAACCGAGAACCGGGAACTTCACTTCACTTTAAATTTCCGGTTTTCCTTGCTTCTATTTTGATATTTTGATTTATTTTATTCTGAACCTTTCTTGATTCTTTACAGTAACTTTGCTTGATTTTTTTTCCCGATTTTTCTGTGTATACTGGTTATTTTTGACTGCAGTAAACCCCTCGGCCCGAAGTACACCCCTTTTTCTTTTGATGGTGGTGGAGGAGACGAGTACTTTTGGCACTGCGCTTTCACGTTCAAGCCGCCGAATGAATGACCCTTTCTTTGCCTGTCGCCCCACCTCAGGCTGTCGTGGCTGCGCGTGGCCTTCGCCGTCCTGGTGGCCGTCCTCGTCATGGCCATGGGCTGCGCCGTCGAGGTCCGCGCCGGCACCTCCAACAAGAGGAGCACCCCTTTCGGGCACTACGGTAAAGGGGGTGCGGGGTGTCCTCTTTCATAGGAATTCTAGCTTTCCCGCATAACTTGTTTCCGGGAAATTTTCCAACAATTAATTTTTGGAATGCCTGAATTTTTCATTATAAGTCGTTTTTTTTTTTTTCAAGTCTTTCCAGAAATATATATTTTTTTAAATTCCAACTTTTTCGGGGAAAGTTTACATCTTCGAAAATAAAATTCAGACTTCTAAACTCCGTACACTTTATACGAAAATTTATTGAGAATCGTTTGCGAGGTCATGATAAATGTTTCTACCGTAGAAAACATTTCTACTAGAGCGTTACCCTCGGCGTTACCTATGCTAAACTAGAGCGTTGTTTTTTTTTTTTGTTTTTTTTTTTCGAACCCCTCACCCACCGGCGGGCGCAGCGGCCCTCTTCAACTACGCGATGTGCCTGGCGCTGGTGCTGCTGTGGGCGCGCGCCGCCAACCGCTGCTCGGCGCTGTGGGAGCGCGTGGACGAGCTGGAGGCGCGCCTGTGGGCGCGCGGGGTGCACCGCCTGCCGCGCCTGCGCCGCCACGCGCTCGCCGTCACCGGCGTCGTCTTCCTCGTCCTCATCCGTACGTACGACGTGCCCTACAGGGGAGGGTAAGAATATCACGCGGACCCATCAGCAGGTTCAGGACCACACCACCGGGACCCCGTGATATTTCTATCCCGGGGTGTAAATATCATGGGGTCTCTATGGGTCGCTGTCGTGGTCCTGAGCCTACTGAGGGGGGCATGATATTCCTACCCCAGGGTACAAATGTCATGGGGTCTCTATGGACCGGTGTCGTGGTCCTGAGCCTACTGAGGTGGCCATGATATTCGTACCCTACGGTGCAAATGTGTTGGGTTCCAGCCGCAGTCGTGGCCTTTGGCCAGGACTGAGGGGTGCCATGATATTTGTACCCCCTGACGGTCTCCCCCCGCAGCGCAACAGGCGTTCGTCGTGTGGCGGCGGCTGCCGCTGCGGGGGCTGTTCCACCTGGGCCAGCTGGTGAGCGGCGTGTGCATCGCGGGCGTGTTCAACTTCAGCGCGCTGCTGCTCATGGTGCTGAGCGAGGTGCTGGCCGAGTGCTTCCGCGCGCTCGCCTCCCTGATACGCCGCACCGCCGCCCAGGTACGCGGCGGTAGTACAGTCGCGCTAACGACCGCGCGCGCTGCGGAGAAACGGCGGCGCCGGAAGGCGTCCGTCCGTCCGTCGGTCGGCGCCGGTTGTTGTACGCAGCGGCTGCTCCTGGCGGACGAGTTATTAGTGGGGGAGGAGGGGGGAGGGGCGTAGACAACTCTAATGGACTTCCCACGAGGCGGTCCGAATCTGGCCGGGTCTGGCCGAGTGCTCTCCTGCGAGCTACGGGTGCGGGTATGCAACCTGCATCCCTGCGCGTGCTATAAAGATACACCCCGTCGCCGTAATACCGGCACATTTGAAAAACTCCCGCCTTGGCTGTCGCTGCTGGATACTGAAGTGCTCTTCCGACTCGTCTGCGCTGCCGTAGAGCGGCAACAGGATCCCGCCGGAGGTGGTGGAGGGCGTCCGCGTGTTGTACAATGAGGTCTGCGGCCTGGCGCGCACCCTGGACCACAGCGTGGGCGCCATCTTCATGTCGACCCTCGTCGCGGACGGCTTGTACATCTGCCAGTTCCTCCTCAGCATCCTGACGTAAAGTTCATAGCTGTATACGGCACTAGGACCGCGTGTGTGACGAGTCAGACACTCTCCAGTGCGCACCAAGGCGTCATGTCACAGGGCGCCGTTTTGATGCGTAAAGTTTTATCCAGGAGGGCGGCGGGACGGAGCCTGTACTCGGCCGCGACCCTGGCCGTGGTGGCCGCCAGGTTCTTCCTCACGATCTTCGCCGCGTCCTCGGTGCACGGCGAGTGGCGGTCGGCGAGGTCCTGCCTGCTGAGGACGTCCCCGTACAGGAGCGGCAAAGAGGTGTGGGAGTCCCCGAGGGGTACTTCACTAAAACCCAAGCATACGTGGATTTTTCTTGTTTTCTGTTTGTTTGTTTTTTCTGATTTTTCTAAATTGAGTAATCGTTGATTTTTATAATTTTATTTTTTTGAGGATGTACTTTTTTTTTGAGTGACGTACCCCTTTGGGAATCCATCGGTTACGATCCAACACAGCAACACGAACGTTTCCTAGCTGTGACATTGGAGGACCCCGCCGAGGGTTCCCTTGGCCTTGGCCGCGCCCGCCCCCGGGCCCCGGATGCCCAAGGCAGGCCGCCGGCTCCCCGCAGCTGCTCAGCGGGCTGGCCTACCCAGCCCGCTGCAGGCGCTAGCAGAAGCGTCAACCAAAAACCACCCCTCTTCGGTAGCGTGTGTGTGTGTGTGTGTCGAACTAGCACGGGCTTGCTTTACTTTCCGTCCCACCAGGTTTTGCGCTTCTTCATGCAGGTGGCCACGGACAGAGTGTCACTGACGGCGCTGGGAGTCGTACCCATCACTAGGCCTCTCATGCTTGCGGTAAGCAGAACGCGCGTTTTATGTCCTGAAAATACTGCCCAACCGGGCCGTGACGTAAAAAAGAGCCCCCTCTCTTATAATTTCAGTTATTGGGCTCCATATTGTCTTATGAGATCGTCCTTGTGCAGTTCAACAACAATAACAGCTAAGCTAGAATAGAACCGTTGAATATATTTTTTAAATGTTTTAATATCAAGCAAAAAAGTTTTTGTACGTTTGTTTCAGTTTTAAGTAATTTATAGTACGATTATGGCGGGCACTTCCCGGGTGGAAGAATTAGTAGTTCGAACTATATGCGACTTCAGTAGTTAAACTTCGTTGGAATCTGAAGTTTGGACGCATTTTATTTCTAAACAAACTTTACTGCAGTTGTAAACGTTGTGCATTTCAAACTGTG